TACAAGGATAGGTCCTGGCAGGGATAGAGGTACACTCACTACAGAAAGTATCTATAAGGATAGGTCCTGGCAGGGATAGAGGAACACTCACTACAGAAAGTATCTACAAGGATAGGTCCTGGCAGGGATAGAGGCACACTCACTACAGAAAGTATCTATAAGGAGAGGTCCTGGCAGGGATAGAGGTACACTCACTAAAGAAAGTATCTACAAGGATAGGTCCTGGCAGGGATAGAGGCACACTCACTACAGAAAGTATCTACAAGGATAGGTCCTGGTAGGCACAGAGGAACACTCACTACAGAAAGTATCTACAAGGATAGGTCCTGGTAGGGACAGAGGAACACTCACTACAGAAAGTATCTACAAGGCTAGGTCCTGGCAGGGATAGAGGTACACTCACTACAGAAAGTATCTACAAGGATAGGTCCTGGCAGGGATAGAGGTACACTCACTACAGAAAGTATCTACAAGGATAGGTCCTGGCAGGGATAGAGGCACACTCACTTCAGAAAGTATCTACAAGGATAGGTCCTGGTAGGGACAGAGGAACACTCACTACAGAAAGTATCTACATGGATAGGTCCTGATAGGGACAGAGGCACACTCACTACAGAAAGTATCTACAAGGATAAGTCCTGGTAGGGACAGAGGAACACTCACTACAGAAAGTATCTACAAGGATAGGTCCTGATAGGGACAAAGGCACACTCACTACAGAAAGTATCTACAAGGATAGGTCCTGGCAGGGATAAGTACACTCACTACAGAAGTATCTACAGGGGATAGGTCCTGGCAGGGATAAGTACCTCACTGCAGAGAGTATCTGGGATAGGTCCTGGCAGGGGATGAGAGGAACTCACTGGTAAAGTATCTACAAGGATGGGTCCTGGCAGGGGATAGAGTACACTCACTACAGAAGTATCTACAAGGATGGGTCCTGGCAGGGATAGAGGTACACTCACACACAGAAAGGTATCTATAAGGATAGCCTGGCAGGGACAGGAGGAACACTCAGTACAGAGAGTATCTGCAAGGATGGGTCCTGGCGGGGACGGGGAGAGACCTCACTAGAGGTATCTCTAGGGCCCAGGAGGTCCTGGCAGGGGACAGAGGACACTCACTACAGTGAGGTATCTGGGGCCTGGGATCCTGGCGGGGACAGAGGAACCTCACTGGGGAGTATCTACAGGATAGGTCCTGGCAGGGGACAGAGGAACACTCACTGAGAGAAATTATCTGCAAGGATAGGTCCTGGCAGGGATAGAGGCACACTCACTACAGAAAGTATCTGCAGGATAGATCCTGGCAGGGATAGAGGCACACTCACTGAAAGTATCTACAAGGATGGGTCTGGCAGGGGACAGAGGAACACTCACTACAGTAAGAGTATCTACAGGATAGGTCCTGGCAGGGGATGAGGCCTCACTGCAGAGAAGTATCTGCAAGGATGAGTCCCTGGCAGGGACAGAGGAACCTCACTACAGTAAGTATCTACAAGGATGGGTCCTGGCAGGGGACAGAGAACTCACTGCAGAAGTATCTGCAGGATGGGTCTGGCAGGGGACAGAGACACTCACTACAGAGAGTATCTACAGGATGCTAAGTTCTCAGCAGGGATGGAGAACTTCGTGAGGTATCTACAGGATTCTAAGCAGGGACAGAGAGGAACCTCACTGCAGAGGTATCTGCAAGGATAGGTCTGGCAGGGACAGAGGGAACACTCACTGCAGTAAGTATCTGCAAGGATAGGTCTGGCAGGAGGACAGAGGAACACTCACTACAGAAAGTATCTACAGGATGGGTCCTGGCAGGGAGGAACACTCACTACAGTAAGTATCTACAAGGATAGGTCCTGGCAGGGGACAGAAGGGCCTCACTGCAGTAAGTATCAAGGATGGGTCCTGGCGGGGACAGAGGAACACTCACTACAGAAAGTATCTACAAGAGGATGGGTCCTGAGGGACAGAGGTGCTCACTACAGTAGAGGTATCTACAGGATGGGTCCTGGCAGGGACCGAGAACCCTGCTACAGTGAGGTATCTGGGATGGGTCTGGCAGGGGACAGAGGAACACTCACTGAAAGTATCTGCAAGGATGGGTCCTGGCAGGGGACGAGACACTCACTGAAGGTATCTACAGGATAGGTCCTGGCGGGGACAGGAACACTCACTGCAGAAAGTGTCTGCAAGGATGGGTCTGGCAGGGGACGGAAGACACTCTCACTGCAGTGAGGTATCTACAAGGATGGGTCTGGCAGGGATGAGGCACACTCACTGTGGTATCTGGCAGGACAGAAGTATCTGGGATGGGTCCTGGCAGGGACAGAGGAACACTCACTACAGAAAGTATCAGGATGGAATACTCACTACAGAGAAGTATCTGCAGGGATGGGTCCTGGCAGGGACAGAGGGAACACTCACTGGTGAGCCTCTGCAAGGGATGGGTCTGTAGGGGATAGGAACCCTCACAGGATAGGTCCTGGCAGGGATAGAGGCACACTCACTTCAGAAAGTATCTACAAGGATAGGTCCTGGTAGGGACAGAGGCACACTCACTACAGAAAGTATCTACAAGGATAGGTCCTGGCAGGGATAGAGGTACACTCACTACAGAAAGTATCTACAAGGATAGGTCCTGATAGGGACAGAGGCACACTCACTACAGAAAGTATCTACAAGGATAGGTCCTGGCAGGGATAGAGGTACACTCACTACAGAAAGTATCTACAAGGATAGGTTCTGGCAGGGACAGAGGAACACTCACTACAGAAAGTATCTACAAGGATAGGTCCTGGCAGGGACAGAGGAACACTCACTACGGAAAGTATCTACAGGATAGGTCCTGGCAGGGGACAGAGGAACACTCACTACAGAAAGTATCTGCAAGGATGGGTCCTGGCAGGGACAGAGGAACTCACTGCAGTAAGGTATCTACAAGGATAGGTCCTGGCAGGGATAGAGGCACACTCACTTCAGAAAGTATCTACAAGGATAGGTCCTGGTAGGGACAGAGGCACACTCACTACAGATAGTATCTACAAGAATAGGTCCTGGCAGGGATAGAGGTACACTCACTACAGAAAGTATCTACAAGGATAAGTCCTGGTAGGAATAGAGGCACACTCACTTCAGAAAGTATCTACAAGGATAGGTCCTGGCAGGGATAGAGGAACACTCACTACAGAAAGTGTCTACAAGGATAGGTCCTGGCAGGGATAGAGGTACACTCACTTCAGAAAGTATCTACAAGGATAGGTCCTGGCAGGGATGAGACACTCACTACAGAAGTATCTGCAAGGATGGGTCCTGGCAGGGGACAGAGGAACACTCACTACAGAGAAGTATCTGCAAGGATGGGTCTGGCAGGGGATGAAGACACTCACTACAGAAGTATCTACAAGGATGGGTCCTGGCGGGGACAGAGGAACACTCACTGCAGTAGAGTATCTGCAAGGATGGGTCCTGGCGGGGACAGAGGAACACTCACTACAGAAAGTATCTACAAGGATAGGTCCTGGCAGGGACAGAGGAACACTCACTACAGAAAGTATCTACAAGGATAGGTCCTGGCAGGGACAGAGGAACACTCACTACAGAAAGTATCTACAAGGATAGGTCCTGGCAGGGACAGAGGAACACTCACTACAGTAAGTATCTACAAGGAGAGGTCAGATGATTTTCAAAATGAACACTGCGACTACTGTTGTCTCAGTCGGGTTGTCAAAATCTTTCCCCTATTGTCATATTGTCTAACAAAACAAATTATAGACTTTTTGTAGTGAGTAATCAAGGGTGCCTGATAATGTTGAGTGACGATTGTTGTCATTTGTAATAATAATACTGTAATGATAATAATAATGATTAATATTAAGACAATTTGATCAAGAGCAGCAGAGAAGATCATAAGATACTTATTACCAGTAAGGTTGTTAAGTAGTTCTATTACTATTATACTTCTGTGATAGAGAAGGGAAGATAGTGAGAAAGAACAGGAAAAATAGGAGGGAGAGAAGGGTAGATAGGAGAGAGAAGGACAAAGGAAGAAGAGGGAGAGAAGGCAGGACAGTACTGTACAGTGACTTACCTAACTCCTTAGTTGGTGACACACTTGTCACAGGGCCCACAATATTTGGTGGAGCCGCAGACCAAGGGCTTGGGATGGTTGTAGGAGTTGCAGACCCAGGGCTTGGGATGGTTGGTGGAGCTGCAGACCAAGGGCTTGGGATGGTTGGTGGAGCTGCAGACCAAGGGCTTGGGATGGTTGGTGGAGCTGCAGACACAGGACTTGGGATGGTTGGTGGAGTTGCAGACACAGGGCTTGGGATGGTTGGTGAAGCTGCAGACACAGGGCTTGAGATGTTGGGTAAAGCTGCAGACCCAGGGCTTGGGATGGTTGGTAGCCGCAGACCAGGGGCTGGGATGGTGTGTAGGAGTTGCAGACCCAGGCTTGGGATGCGGGAGCAGCAGACCAAGGGCTTGGGATGGCTGGAGCTGCAGACAAGGGGCTGGGATGGCTGGAGCTGCAGACAGGACTTGGGATGAGTTGCAGACACAGGGCTTGGGATGGTTGGAAGCTGCAGACACAGGGCTTGGAGATGTTGGGTAAAGCTGCAGACCCAGGGCTTGGGATGAAGCTGGTAGCCGCAGCACCAAGCGGGCCAACATGGTTGTAGGAGTTGCAGACCAGTGGGGCTTGGGATGGTTGTGGAGCTGCAGACCGCGCCGGGATGCTGGTGGAGCTGCAGACCAAGGGCCAGATGGCTAGGGGAGTTGCATTGGCCATGACTTGGGATGGCGGGTAGCTGCAGAATCAAGGGGCTTGGGATGGCTGGGTGAGCTGCAGACCAAGGGCTTGGGATGGCCGGGTGGAGCTGCAAGACACAGGGCTTGGGATGGCTGGTGGAGTTGCAGACACAGGCTTGGGGATGGCTGGTGAAGCTGCACATCATTGCGGGGGCTTGGGGATGGTTGGTGGAAGCCACACAGTGCTTGGGATGTCTACAGTGAAGCCGCACACAGGCTTGAGATGGTTGGGTGAAGCCGCAGACACAGGGCTTGGGATGGCTGGTGAAGCTGCAGACCCAGGGCTTGGGATGGCTGGTGAAGCTGCAAGAATCCAGGCTTGGGATGGTTGGTGGCCGGCATCCAGGGCTTGGGATGACAGGAGCTGCAGACCAAGGGCTTGGGATGGCTGGTGGAGCTGCAGACACAGGGCTTGGGATGGTTGGTGGAGCAGCATTGCCAGGGCTTGGGATGGCTGGGTGAAGCTGCACAGGCCTTTGGATGAAGTGCCTGCAGACACAGGGCTTGGGATGGCCTGGTGAAGCCAAGTATCACAGGCTTGGGATGGCTGGTGAAGCTGCAGACACAGGGGCTTGGGATGGTTGGTGCTGCAGACCGAGGCTTGGGACAGTCAAGTGAAGCTGCAGACCCAGGCTTGGGATGGCTGGTGAAGCTGCATCCCAGGGCACAGGATAGTTGGTGCTGCAGCATCACAGGCTTGGGATATGGTGGGGCAAAGCTGCAGACACAGGGCTGAGATGGTGGGAAGCTGCAAGACAACAGGCTCATGAAGCAGGCTGCAGACACAGGCAGGCTTGGAGCGGCTGGTGCTGCAGACCCAGGGCTTGGGATGGCTGGTAAAGCTGCAGACACAGGGCTTGGGATGGCAGAAGCTGCACACAGGGCTGGGATGGCTGGTGCTGCAGACCCAGGGCTTGAGATGGTGGGTGTGCCCACACAGTGGGGCTTGGGGATGCAGAAGCTGCAGACACAGGGCTTGGGATGGTTGGTGAGCTGCAAGACCCAGGGGCTTGAGATGGTTGGCAAAGCCAAGAATCCAGGCCTGGGATGGTTGGCAGTCACACAGGCTTGGGATGGTGGGGCAGCCGCAGACACAGTGGGGCTTGAGATGGTGGGTAAAGCCGCAGACACAGGGCTTGGAGATGTAGGGTAGCCGCAGACACAGGCTTGAGACAGGGGTAAAGCCAAAGGCACAGGGCTTGGGATGGTTGCAGGAAGCCGCAGACCCAGGGCTGAGACATGGGTAAAGCTGCAGACACAGGGCTTGAGATGGTGGGCAAAGCTGCAGACACAGGGCTTGAGATGGTGGGTAAAGCTGCAGACACAGGACTGGGATGGTTGGTAAAGCAGACACAGGGCTTGAGATGGTGGGGTGCTGCAAGATTACAGGCTTGGAGATGGTGGCAAGCCGCAGACACAGGGGCTGGGGATGGTTGCAGCCGCAGACACAGGCCCAGGGGCAAAGCCAAGGACTGGGATGGTTGCGCATGCACAGTGGGCTTGAGATGTGGGTGCACACAAGGACTGGTTGGTTGGTGAAGCTGGCAGGCACAGGGCTGTGCAGCCAGACACAGGACCCCATGGTTAAAGCTGCAGACACAGTGGGGGCTTGGAGATGGTTGGTAAAGCTGCAGAACCAGGCTGGAGGAAGCTGCAGACACAGAGCTTAGGAATGGTTGGTGAAGCTGCAGACACAGGGGCTTGGGATGGTTGTGCCGCAAGACACAGGGAAGGCTTGAGACGAAGGTGCCTGCAGACACAGGACTGCAGATGGCTGCAAGCTGCAGGCACAGGGCTGGAGATGGTGCGTGCTGGCAGACACAGGACTCTGGGGATGGTTGGCAAAGCTGCAAGGCACAGGGCCGAGATGGTGGGCAAAGCCGCAGACATTGAGGACCTGGGGGATGGTTGGCAAGCTGCAGATTGCCAGGCTTGGAGATGGTTGTGCCGCAGCATCCAGGGCTTGGGACACTGTGAAGCTGCAGACACAGAGCTTAGAATGGTTGGGTGAAGCGCAAGACACAGGGCTTGGAGATGGTTGGAGGAGCGCAGACCAGGGCTTGGAGATGGTGGGCAAAGCTGCAGACACAGGGCTTTGGGATGGCTGGTGGAGCTGCAGACCCAGGGCTTGGAAAAGATGGTGGGGTGCTGCAGACACAGGGCTTGGGAGATGGTTGGTGGGACAGGCACAGGGCTTGGGAGAGATGGTGTGCTTGAATCAAGGGCTTGGGATGGCACCTGGTGGAGCTGCAAAACCCAGGGCTGGATGGAGCAGAGCTGCAGACACAGGGCTTGAGATGGTTGGCGGTGACCCAGGGCTTGGGATGGCCAGGAGCTGCAGACACAGGGGCTTGGAGATGGCTGGTGCTGCAGACACAGGGCTTGAGATGGCAAAGCAGACCCAGGGCTTGGGATGGTTGGCAAGCTGCAGACCCAGGGCTTGGGACATGGCTGGTAAAGCTGCAGACCCAGGACTTGGGATGGCTGGTAAAGGCAGGACACAGGGGCTTGAGATGGTTGGTAAAGCTGCAGACCCAGGGGGCTTGGGATGAGCAGAAGCTGCAGACACAGAGCTTAGAATGGTTGGCAGGTAAAGCTGCAGACCCAGGCTTGGGATGGTTGGGTGAAGGCAGACACAGGGCTTGGAGATGGAGCAGAAGGCAGACACAGGGCCAAGGATGGCTGGCAAAGCCAAGAATCCAGGCTTGGGATGGCTGGCAAAGCCAGCAGACACAGGGCTTGGAGATGGTGGGCAAGCTGCAGATCTTGCACCCAGGGCTTGAGATGGTGGGGTGCTGCAGACACAGGCTTGGGATGGTTGGTGGAGCTTCAGACCCAGGCTTGGGAGATGGTGGGTAAGCTGCAGACACAGGGCTTGAGATGGTTGGTGGAGCTGCAGGAGCCAGGGCTTGGGATGGTGGGGTAAAGCTGCAGACCAGCTTGGGATGGTTGGTGGAGCTGCAGACCCAGGGCTTGGGATGGTTGCAGGAGCTGCAGACACAGGGCTTGAGATGGTTGGTAAAGCTGCAGACCCAGGGCTGGGATGGTTGGTGGAGCTGCAGACACAGGGCTTGGGAGAAGGCTGGAAGCTGCAGACACAGGGCTGAGATGGTTGGTAAAGCTGCAGACCCAGGCTTGGGATGGTTGGTAAAGCTGCAGACCCAGGGCTTGGGATGGTTGGTAAAGGCAGACCCAGGACTTGGATGGTTGGAAGCTGCAGACACAGGGCTTGAGATGGTTGGTGAAGCTGCAGACCCAGGGCTTGGGATGGTTGGTGAAGGCAGACACAGCTTGGAGATGGTTGGTGCTGCAGACACAGGGCTTGAGATGGCTGTGAGCTGCAGGCACAGGGCTTGAGATGGTGGGTAAAGCTGCAGACCAAGGGCTTGGGATGGCTGGTGGAGCTGCAGACACAGGGCTTGAGATGGTTGGTAAAGCTGCAGACCCAGGGCTTGGGATGGTTGGTGGAGCTGCAGACACAGGGCTTGGAGATGGCGGGTAAAGCTGCAGACACAGGCTTGAGATGGAGCAGGGAGCTTGCACACAGGGCTTGAGATGAAGCTGGTGAAGCTGCAGACATGTGACTTCTGGGATGGTTGCAAAGCTGCAGACCCAGGGCTTGGGGATGGTTGGTGAAGCCAAGACCCAGGGCTTGGGATGGCTGGAAGCTGCAGACAGGACTTGGGGATGGTTGGAAAGCTGCAGACACAGGGCTTGAGATGGTGGCAAAGCTGCAGGCACAGGACTTGGGATGGCTGGTAAAGCAGACACAGGGCTTGGGAAGCTGCGGAAGCTGGCAGACACAGAGCTTGGAATGGAGCTGGTGAAGGCATTTACAGGGCTTGGGATGGTTGGTGAAGCTGCAGACACAGAGCTGGAATGGTTGGTGAAGCTGCAGACACAGGGCTTGGGATGGTTGGAGGAGTTGCAGACCCAGGTCTTGGGATGGTTGGTGAAGCTGCAGACACAGAGCTTGAATGGTTGGTGAAGCTGCAAAAGACACAGGGCTTGGGATGGTTGGAGGAGTTGCAGACCCAGGGGCTTGAGATGTTGGTAAAGCTGCAGACCATGGCTGGGATGTTTGGTGAAGCTGCAGGCACAGGGCTTGGGATGGTTGGTGAAGGCAGGCACAGGGCTTGGGATGGCTGGGTAAAGCCAGGCAGACCAAGGGCTTGGGATGGTTGGTGAAGCTGCAGACACAGGGCTTGGGGTTGGTTGGTAAAGCTGCAGACATGTGGGCTTGAGGGGATGGTGGGTAAAGCTGCAGACACAGGGCTTGGGATGGTTGGTAAAGCTGCAGACCAAGGGCTTGGGATGGCTGGTGAAGCTGCAGACGGGCCAGGGCTTGGGATGGTTGGTGAAGCTGCAGACACAGGCTGGGGATGGTTGGAGGAGTTGCAGACAGGGGCTTGGATGGCTGGTGGGAGCTGCAGACCAAGAGCTTGGGATGGTTGGAGGAGCTGCAAGACCAAGAGCTTGGGATGGCTGGAGGAGTTGCAGACACAGGCTGGGATGGCTGGTGGAGCTGCAGACCAAGAGCTGGGGGATGGTTGGTGTGAAGCTGCAGACACAGGGCGGGATGGCTGGTGAAGCTGCAGACCCAGGGCTTGGGATGGTTGGAGGAGCAGACACAGGGCTTGGGATGGCTGGGTGGAGCTGCAGACACAGGGCTTGGGGGATGGCGGTGAAGCAGACACAGGCTTGGGATGACAGAAGCTGCAGACACAGGGCTTGGGATGACAGAAGCTGCAGACACAGGGCTTGGGATGAAGTGGAGGAGTTGCAGACACAGGGGCTTGGGATGGTTGGTGAAGCTGCAGGACCCAGGCTTGGGATGGCTGGTGAAGGCAGCCAAGGGCTTCTGGATGGTTGGTGAAGCTGCAGACCAAAGTGGCTTGGGATGGCAGAAACTGCAGGCACAGGGCTTGGGATGGCTGGTGAAGCTGCAGACCAAGGGCTTGGGATGGCTGGTGGGAAGGCAGGCACAGGACTTGGGATGCTGGTAAAGCTGCAGACCAAGGGCTTGGGATGGTTGGTGAAGCTGCAGACATGGGGTGGGCAAGGGATGGGCTGGTAAAGCTGCAGACACAGGGGCTTGGGGGACAAGGTGGAGCTGCAGACACAGGGCGTGGGATGGTTGGTGAAGCTGCAGACATGTGGGCTTGGGATGCTTTGGAGGAGTTAAGCAGACACAGGGCTTGGGATGGTTGGAGGAGCGTAAGACACAGGGCTTGGGATGGTTGGAGGAGTTACAGACACAGGGCTTGGGATGGTTGGAGGAGCTGCAGACACAAAGCTGGGATGGTTGGTGAAGCCAAGACCCAGGGCTTGGGATGGAAGCTGGAGGAGTTGCAGACACAGGGCTTGGGATGGTTGGTGAAGCTGCAGACCCAGGGGCTTGGGATGGTTGGAGGAGCAGGTATTGCTGTGGCTTGGGGATGGTTGGTGAAGCTGCACCCAGGGCTGGGATGGTTGGAGGAGTTGGCAGACCCAGGCTTGGGGATGGCTGGAGGAGCAGGACACAGGGCTTGGGATGGTTGGTGAAGCTGCAGACCCAGGGCTTGGGATGGTTGGAGTGAGTTGCAGACACAGGGCGGGATGGTTGGAGAAGCTGCAGACCTGTGTGGGCTTGGGATGGCTGGTGAAGCCGCAGACACAGGGCTTGGGATGGTTGGGTGAAGCTGCACACAGGGCTTGGATGGTTGAGGAGCTACAGACACACGGCTTGGGATGGTTGGTGAAGCTGCAGACACAGGCTTGGGATGGTTGGTGAAGCTGGGCATCCAGGGCTTGGGATGGGTTGGTGAAGCTGCAGACACAGGGCTTGGGATGGCTGGTGAAGCTGCAAGGACCCAGGGCTTGGGATGGCTGGTGGAGCTGCAGACACAGGGCTTGGGATGGTTGGTGAAGCAGACACAGGACCTGGGATGGTTGGTGGAGTTGCAGACACAGGGCTTGGGATGGTTGGGTGCTGCAGACCCAGGGCTTGGAGATGGTTGGTGAAGCTGCAGACACAGGGGCTTGGGATGGTTTACAGAAGCTGCAGACCCAGGGGCTTGGATGGTTGGTGAAGCCAGCAGACCCAGGGCTTGGGATGCTGGAGGAGCTGCAGACACAGGGCTTGGGATGGTTAAGAAGCTGCAGACACAGGGCTTGGGGGATGGTTGGAGGAGTTACAGACACAATGGCTTGGGATGGTTGGAGGAGTTACAGACCCAGGGCTTGAGATGGTTGGTGAAGCTGCAGACACAGGGCTTGGGATGGTTGGTAAAGCTGCAGCACCCAGGGCTTGGGATGGTTGGGAAGCTGCAGACCCAGGGCTTGAGATGGTTGGTGAAGCTGCAGACACAGGGCTGGGGATGGTTGGTAAAGCTGCAGACCCAGGGCCTGGGATGAAGCTGGTGGAAGCTGCAGACCCAGGGCTTGGGATGGCGCAGCAGCTGCAGACACACAGGGCTGGGGATGGCTGGTGGCTGCAGACACAGGGCTGGGATGGTTGGAGGAGTTACAGACACACGGCTTGGGATGGTTGGTGGAAGCTGCAGACACAGGGCTTGGGATGGTTGGAGGGAGTTACAGACA